ATTTGGTGTCCTTTCTTTTATTTAAAAGTACTTTTCACGACCTACAATGTCGCCAATCCTTACTTTTACAACAGGACATAGCAGGCCCTTCATGATCTGACCTGTACCCATCTCTTCCAGTGCCATCTCTTGTCAAAGTACTGAAGGGTTTTTCTTTTGGTTTGTTTTTTTTTATTGAAAGGTTTTTAATGCAAGGCGGGTCCCTTCTAGTGGTCTCATAAAATGATGTGGAATGTAACAACTCTCATGCAGAAACTTCACTTAATTTGCCAAATTTACAAATTCCATTTCACTGGTAAGACTGGTTTATGCCAGTTTTTTCATTCCTAGAAAAACAGATGCCCACAACTTGGAGCTATATATGCTCCAGGCTATCCGGGTTTCCAGCCATTCTCAAGCAACCCTTAGCTTCTAAAAACAATTACATGCCTCTCAAGAGTCTATTTGTTTCCAAAACTATTCCAAGATAACTGGCTGTAATTACTTTAAGTGATACCTAATGAAATTATGAAAAGATGTGGAAAAGGTCTCAATGTCATATGAAAAATAGGTAAATGAACATGTTTTAATTTGAAATTAATGTTTAAAGCCAAAAATGATCACATACTTTAACTGTTATTCAATTAACCAACTGGGAAGCTTACGGGTGGTGCTATGAGGATCTCTTCGGATGACAAACTGCTGCTCATTAAACAAAACAAAAATCAAAAGCTAAAAAACTATAAACTATTACAGCCCTCAGATGGTTTATTTCCCACTTTCCTGTTTAAAATATATATGCTAGGGCTGAAAAGAATGTCTCAGACAAATTAAGAGCTAAATCATTTCAAGTATTTAGATTTTTATTATCTTGAGACTTTTCTCAGGTTTTTCATTCTAATTCGTCACAAATCCTTTATTCTTTCTCTCTTAGTTAGCTTTTAACTGTTTTCACAACTCACTGCATCACTAAGTATCTCCAGGTTATCTGCATCACTTATGGGGGCAGGACCCAATTTTCTAGTTAAGTATTGCTTACTGTATATATCAGGAGCAATAGTACAGGGGTCTCTTACAGAATCCATGTAAGAGATTTAAATGATCTAATAAGTGTGGGTGGGACAGAGAGTCAATGCCATCTATCAGATTTTGAAATGTTTCATTTAAAGTTTTGTCCTGTTGCTCTTGATCCAGCTGTTATTTTTCTCCACACCAAAGAAGGAGCACCTATACCTTTGTGTTTGTCTTTCTTTTGTTTCCATCATTTCCACTCCATATACCTCAGTCCTTCCAACTGTATAAAATATCTGAGTACCAACACTTATTAAAAGACTACGTGGAAGGTGCTGTAGGTGCCTAAATCACATGTTCTTTGTACTTTAAAAGCAATGTATGACAAAAATATGTGAATACGCACTGTAACTGTAAGTAGCAGATGGGTATGGCACCATCATTTTCAGAGTTCTGAAAGCTCTTACTCTAATGAGCTGCCTAGTGATTTTCAGCTTTAAAAACCTAATATAGCAGTTTAAAAAGCCCAAGGCACATACTGATTAGATTCAGAGTAGAGAGCCCTCAAAAGTTGCCTGGTTTCTGGTCTGCTTCTTGGCCCTGCTTACAGTAGTGGCCGTTCTGTGAGCTGGAGACAAATCAGTGCTCAGCAACCACACCTTAAAACTCCCAGGCAAATAAGATACGACTCAGTCAAGTCAACTGAATCCCTATTATAGTTACTCAACTATTGTTGCCAACTGTTAAATAAGTTAAGACATACACTTTCACTGCTTTTTCTTCCAGGACTCCTATAAGCAAAGAAAGCCATTATTTGGCTTGTATCAGTGGCTTTCAAAACTTTAAATGAAGCATTTCAAAATCTGATAGGTGGCACTGACTCTTTGTCCCAGACACACTTATTGGATCATTTAAATCTCATTCTCATGTATTCTGTAAGAGACCCCTGTACTACTGCTCACCTTTGCTCTTAGAACCCTAAATAAGGTAATCCAGCTGCATTACCGGATTGTCATTCTTCACAACAACCTTGTGCAGTGGATATTATTCCTATTTTATTGAGTTCAGTTTAGAAGTACTGAATGACTTCCACAACGTAAAACTGGTTTGACTCAAAATCTTGAGCTTTTTATACAATATATATCTTTCAGTCAGTTTGAATCCAGCTTTCTTGTATGTATTCCCTCATTTTTGTTTTTCACTTGTTATTTGGCAGACAAAAACTACTCAATTTTGACTCCATCTTCCAGATTTATGCAAAGTACTAGGCAGGTATCACTAGTGCTGAGTCCTTCCCAATCACCAAGATCCTGCTTGTCCTAAGTACCTGGCAGGAAAGGCAAACTGCATTAGTTCAAATACTCCAATTTCAAGTGAATACAAGAAAAACAGCCTCAAGTTCTTTTGCACGCAGCAAAGTCCATGTTGTGAAGACTTTTCCAGTGACCATCCCCACAGTAATGCTCTCCAACTCCTTCCTAAAAGCAGAGTCTGGTCTGAAGTGGCGTAAACACTTGATAAATACATATAATCAAAGTGGGTTACTAAAAACCGAAAACTCCAGCAATAAGGCTGTTTGGTTTTTTTTTCTTCAGGAAAAAAGGTCAGCCATTATGATGTAGGTGTCAAAATAAGGCAATCTGGTTTATCATTGCTGTTACTAGCCAAGAACATTAATTCTGCAAAATTATACTTATTTTTCTCAAATTACACTTTTATCAAGTGTAGTTCAAGAAATTTTCTTCTTGAAGTATTAGCTCTGCTTATATATCGTCACATTTTACTAGATATTTTATGCAAAATGTGTCTATGTCAATATGATCTCTTTGAAAAATGTAGTAAGAAAGTCCACTTACAAAGAAGGTATCTATAAACACCAAATATTCCCAGCTTGAAACAAAAACGCCTTAGAAAATTAGCAGCACTGATGACCTAATTCTATATACTATCCTCTTTCCCAAAAGAAGACTTTCTTGTTTATTTTAATAATTGCTTGAGTATCCACTATGTTATGAACTGTGGAAAGGTAACAGAGATTTACTCTCTAAACCATTTACATGTTAAACTTTTTTTTTTTTTTTTTTGGTACTGGGGATCAAACTCAGGTCCTTGCGCTTGCACAGCAGGTGGTGAAACCACTGAGCTAAATCCCTGGCCCTACATGTTAAACTTTTAAAGTGAAAATTGCATTTAGACTTTTACTAGAAGCTGCTGCTATTCTAAAGGAGGTAAACATGATTACTGATTAACAAAAACGGACCCCCTTGATAATCTTTAAAAAATTAGATAGAGATTATTCTCATCTACTCCTATGAAGTATCTTTGTCTTCATAAACCAAATGGAGGTAAAATTAAAAGTATGACAGTCTTTTCCTAGAAAAATTCTCAGAAGAACTTTTATACTGTATGGGAATTATGCAAATACCTACCTGGAGTAGCCAGTAAGCTTGTTAGTAGAAAGTAAATGTTACTACATCCCTTTTTATTTCTAAAACTGACTTGTTTTAAGGAAAATTACAACTTGTAATACCTTTACAACTTGTAATACCTTTTGAAGTCAAAATTAAAATCAGTATGTGTGGGAAGACCAGATTCAACAAAACTTAATAGAAAACACTAGTCAGTAAGGAAAGCAAAAAAACCAAAAAACCAAAAAAAATGCCCCCAAAACCACCTAAATGTTATTATAGAAAAAAATATTTTATGGCTGGGTGCGATGGTGCACACCTGTAATCCTAGTAATTGGGGAGGCTGAGGCAGTAGGATCACCGGGAGTTTAAGGTGAGCCTGGATTATACAGAGTTCAGGGCTAGCCTGAACTACAAAGCAAGACCTGTTTCATTTTATTTTTCAAATTTTAAATATTCTTCATTACCATAGGAAATCATTAGGTTCGTATGTCAGCCTCAATAAAAGTATAATGTTTCTCTTTTCATGTTAGAAATAAACACTAAGTGTCATAAGATTTCAAAAAAGCAATTACAACAAAAAATGCACCCAAGATAGATACCACATAAGACTGGGATTGTGAGGTTGTTTTAAACGAGAACAAAAAATATCACTATTCTTTAAAGACAGCCTTAAGAAAATGTCCCATGTTACTATTTTGCACTTGGACCTCCCCACTGTAGAATTAGGATGCTCCCTGTTTTTGCATACCAGAGCCATGCATGCTGACATCCAAGGTGTAACAGGAAATCCCTCCATGTAATTATTTTGTAAAACCACTTCTGGTATTATTCCAAAAATTCCTAGCTCATTGAAAAGAACTAGTACCCAGGTATATTAAATACTATGTGAACTGGTTGGATTTTCTATTAGACTATTTTACAATTTTTCTGGATCAGAAAAATTTCTAAGACATTAAAAATAAACCAAAATGTTCTATTTTTTAAGCTTTTAGAGAAGCACAGGGCTTCAACACAGTAGGTACTGTTTTAAAATACGTTTGAACCTGGAAAATCAAGTTTGAGTTATTCATAACCTTTCACCATGGCTGTCAGTGTTCAAAGCTGACTTTCAACATTTAAATGTAAGAGAAAGAAGCAACTGTGGAGCCAAGCTTTCTACATAGCTGACTCATTGCATTAACATTACAGTGGCTAATCCCAGAGAAGGGCCCTTGAGTGTACAATGGGTCTCCTGTTACATTCCGTACATAAGACAAGATGTATAAAATTCCCACACCCATACATGTACATTTAAGACAATCTAGAACTACACCAGATAGCCTAACCACAATCAAAATAATCATGCATTGTTTCAGCTAGTATAAAATACATTGTACCACAATGTGTTGTTTTTTGCAAAACTATGTGAAAATCATTATTCCATTTATTTAAATTACCTACAATTGCTTCAACATCTTTTAAGCAACACCGCCCTGAAAACTTTTAAATAAACACTTGATTTTTTTAAAAGGAAAAAAAAAGCAAAGAAGGAAAAATTGTAATGAAACATAGTCATTACAGTACCCCTCTCAGGATAAAGCTCGAGTGAATGGCTCTCACCAGTACATCATTGCAGATATCCCTCAGCTCAGTCTCGATTTTCTCTCTGTATTCTCGAGCCATCTGCTGCTTTTTCTCAGCACCTTCCGTCTTTTGCTCGATACTTGAGACAACCCTCCAAGATGACCTACGGGCTCCTACAACATTTTTATAAGCAACAGAGAGAAGATTCCTCTCCTCATTAGATAATTCAGCGCCTTGCTCAGTTACAGACTTCATGCAGGCTGCCATGTCATCATATCGCTCAGCCTGCTCGGCCAGTTTGGCCTTCTGCACCAGCTCGTTTTTATCCATGCCTGGATGTTCTGCAGAGAGAAAAAAGGAGTACTTAGAAATTCTTTCTCATTAAAATATACATTCTAAATCATACTTGTGATTGATAACTGTATAAACACTTGAAGATTACCTGTGAAAGATTGAGAGAGAAAATGCAGCTTTATAAAAAGATGATCGCAGCAGAAAAATTAGCATACTCAATATACAGAAGTAGATTTAAACTAAAATTGGATTACCTCATCTCTTTAGAAGACCCTAAAAAGCACATCTGGGCAAAAGGGCTACCTTAAAAACCAGCTCCTACTTGGCCAAAATCTCAGCTTGAGTCCAGTATCACTAAATGAGCCAAATTAAGCAGCTTCTCACCCTTCAATACAAAAATGCCCACAAAACCCGGAACATTAAAATTTCTATCATATTTCCAGAATTATGAGTCATGTCAGTCTGGTGCACTTCACAACTTTTAACTTTCATCATATTTAGTCTTGTCGTTAAATTTTAATTGGTATTATCCTCACCCCTAATCTACCAGATCTTTACATTTGCCAGCTGATTAAGGCATGACAATTTTCTGGGGGAAGACCACCAAATTACGGCTTCTCAAATATTATGAATATAAAACCTCCAAGGATTAGTATCTAACCCCCTTGTCTTATCATATGCACATTAACTTAAAAATTATCCTTGAGTCTCAGAACTTTGACTCTGTGATCACTAACATGTCACACTGGAAGCTTCCAGTGTTTCAATGTCACTGTAAGATCACACCGTATTTTGTTTCTATTGGTAGTAGCCACAATCTGAACATTACTCAAGCTGCCCTTTCCCATGTCTTCCCACCTAATTCTCTTCCATAGTAAAGCTCCTTAGCCTTCAAGGTACCTCCCTCCACAGTTTTCTTCAGTTACCCCTCCGAAAGATGTTAACAGGAAAAAAAAAATGCTACTAAACCATACAGTGTCCACAAAATAAAGGATTTTGTAGAAAAATATACAGCCTAAAACGCACTATTAAATTACAAAGCGGACAGAAGAACCACCCACTATGGGAAGGGACTCCCTTTACCTTTCCGAGCGAAATCTCACTCATTTTTCAACGAAATGAGAGTCCCCACTATTTAAACAGGAACCAGCTAAGGTGAATTGTAGTGCTTCAATGGGTAAACTAAAAAATTTGTGATTGCCTATATCCCTTCGGTTCTCGAAATTAATCCCCCGCCCCCCAGAACTCAGAAACGTTCTCTGGTTAGTGTAGCCTCTAATGAAAAATGAATTTCAAACCAGCACAAAGGTTCGCCTCCCCGGCCCTTCGGCACAAGGGGAAGTGGCCTGGGTTTCTCACGGGGTGACAAGGGTCGAGGGCCTCGCCTCCACACTGCGGAGAGGCTCGCCACACCCAGTTAACTCTCTGCAGGCCGCGGCGTCGCGCGGCGAAGCGGAACCTCGCAGACCGTGACTCTCAAGTGCAAATCCTCCGTCCGCGCCCTCCGCAGCCACCTCCCCTGCGTGGCTCCGCCCAGGCTGGTGCCTCCGCACGGTCCCCGACTCCTTTGTCATGGCGGATCGGTGTCAAGGAGCCCAGCCTACCGCCCCGCGCTCATTCCGCCCCAGCCTCCACGGGAGGGAGACGCAGCCCGCGCCCGCCCCAGTCGCCCGGACCGGCAGCCGCGCGCCCGCGGGGCCGCCACCGCCTCGGCGGGGCTGGGGACCGCTGCGCAGGGCGGGGGAGGGGACGGGCCACACCCAGCCCGCGGAGCAGGATGTGCGGGCTTCCCGGGCCCCGACCCTGCCGGGAAACCCGGGCCCTTCCTCGCAGAGCCCTGGGTCCCGGCCGACCCCACCCAGCCCGCCCACCTGGCGGCCCCGCGGAGCCTCCCGCTGCCGCCGCTGCCGCCGCCGCCGCCGCCCCTCCTGCTCCTCCTCCTCCTCCTTTTCTTGCTCTTCCTTCCCCTGCTGTTCTTCCTCCTCCT